CTCCTCCTCCTCCTCCTCCTCCTCCTCCCCCTCGAGCCTCCTTCCCCCCCAAAAGCCGCCGCGGCGACGGGCTGTCCAGGCGAGCTCTCTGGCGGCCAGCACGGCCACCGCTGCGGAGCTGGCCAAAACGCCACGGCGCAGTCTGCCAGGCCCACGGCCCAGGCAGGCAGGTCGCCGGGCCGAGGCTCGGCGGCGAAGTCCGAGCCATGGGACGTCGAAGCTTAACTTCTGGAAAAAAGGGCCTCGTCCCTTCTTTAGGGTTCCTCAGGACAGCGTTTCGACTGTAGGTCGGTGCGTTGGCAACTTCCTCATCGTGGAGAACCTTTTCGAGCCATCCTTTGGCTCAGACCCGGCGCCCAGTCCCGCGCGGCCCCGCGATGAGGAGCCCGGGCGTGCGCGGAGCACTGGAAAAGCGTTTCGACCGTAGGGCTCGCCACCGCCTCTGCCGGCCGCGCCCACGGCCGCGGGCCCCCCCCTCCGCAGGGGTTGTCACGGCCGCACCTCGCCCCGACCTCCGCGTCGTGGGGCCGCCCGTCGATGCCGCTGGCCTCGCCACCCGGCCCGCGGAGGGCGAGGAGGCCCCCCGGGTCGTGGCCGGGCCGCGTCGTCCCACCGATTCGCTTCGGAGCTTCGGCTCCAGATCTGTCCTCCTCCGCCGCGCGGCGCACAAGCCGCCTGCACCCGCCGCCTGACGCGCGCCGGTCGGCCTCGCGCCGTCGTCGTCGGTGGCCGCAGGCCGCGAGCCCATTGGCGGAGCGCCCCCCCCCGCCCCCTGCGCGCCCTCTGTGCCTACTTACGCTAGTACGCTAGTGGCTGTGCACAGTGCGCCGCAGGCTCGCACCGCGGACGCTCTGACGAACCCATCGTCCACTAGTGCCGCCCCCCCGCCCCGACCCCCCAACTCTCCCCTCCTCTCCTCCCCTTCTCCCCTCTTCCCCCTCCTCCCTCCAGCCCTCCCCCCCTCTCATCCCCTTCTCCCCTTCTCGCCTTCTCCCCTCCTCCACCCCTCCCCTTCTACCTCTGCTACAGCTGCATATTGTGAGTACTATGATCCTCCCTACCCTGAATATGTCTGGAAGATGTTCGGTCCTCTCCGCGTGTTTTTTAACACCGGAATTCAAGGATTGTTGTTTCTTGCTTATCATGTTTTTGTGTACACTCCGGTTGCGCTCGGTGTTTCAAAATGGTGTTCCCGTTGCAGCGTGGGCCTCGTTTTCGGATCTGCGCTTTGCTCCCACCGTTCAGAATGGTGCTCTTGCCCCAGCACGGGCCAAGTATCTGGATCTGAGTTCTTTTTTTCATCGATGTTGCCCGCCTCATTTCCCTTCTTCCGCCTTTCCACAGGTCTTCCTGCTCCTACCGATTCTTCCACTCCAATTCCTGCTGTTGCTGCTGTTCGTCCTCGTCATCCCTCCTCATCCTCATCCTGTTCTTCCTGCATATCCGCTACCCCCTCCTCCAGGGTACGCGCTATCGTTTTCTCTTCCGATTGCGCATAACACGACGGGGTCTTCTAAGAATTCCAGGTCCGCCATGGCCCGCGTCGGCAGATAGAGAAAACAGCAGCGCCACGGGAAGGGATGGGCGGGAGGGGTAGAACGTTAGATGTGGCGCGAGCGCACTTGGCTTGCCTTCCACCTCCCCTCCATTCCCCCCACTCCCCCCTCCTCCCTCCTCCTCCCACCTCATCCCTCTCCATGCATCTCGCCTTCCCACCCCTCCTCGTCCCGTTTCTTCCTCGTTCTCCCCCCCCGCGCCCTCCTCCCTCCTGCCTCCCTCGCCCCCTTCTCGTCCCGTTTCTTCCTCGTTCTCCCCCCCCCCGCGCCCTCCAACCCCTCCTCGTCCCGTTTCTTCCTCGTTCTCCCCCCCCGGCGCCCTCCTCCCCCCGCGGTCCCTCGCCCCCTTCCCTGGCTCCTCGCCCGCCTCGTCGCCCCGCGACACGCAGAGCGCCCGCGCGCCGAGGCACCGATGCGCCGACCCTGAGCGAGATGCCGACGCGGAGCGCGCGCGCGCGCGCCCTTCTCCTCCTCTTCCTCCTCCTTCCTCCTCCTCCTCCTCTTCCTCCTCCTCCTCCTTCCTTCCTCCTCCTCCTCCATCTCCTCCTCATCATCATCATCATCATCATCATCATCATCATCATCATCATCATCATCATCATCCCCTTCTTCTTCTTCCTCCTCCTCCTCCTCCTGCTCCTGTTCCTGTTTCTCATCTTTTTCCTCCTGTTTCTGCTCTCGTGTCTCCTTTTCCTCCTCATCATCATCATCATAATATTGGTTATCCTCGTTATCCTCCTCTTCCTTCTCCTCCTCCTCCTGTTTATCCTCCTGTTCCTCATGTTCCTTCTCCTCTTCCTCCTCTTCCTCCTCCTCCTCCTGCTCCTCCTCCTTCTCCTCCTGTTCCTCCTCTTTCTCATTATCTTCCTCCTCCTCCTCCTGTTCCTCCTCCTTCTCCTCCTCCTCGTCCTCCTCCCCATCCTGTTCCTGTTCCTCCTATTATTCGTCCTCCTCCTCTTCTATCCTTTTCGTCTGTCCTCCTCTCCTCCTCCTCCTCCTCTTCGTCCTCCTCCTCCTCCTCCTCCTGTTCCTGGTCCTCTTCTTCTTCCTCCTCCTGTTCCTCTTCCTGTTCCTGTTCCTCCTCTTCTTCCTTCTCCTCCTCCTGTTCCTCCTCCTCGTCCTCCTCCTCCTCCCTCCCTTTTTCATCCTCTCCCCCTTTTCCTCCTCCTCCTCCTCCTCCTGTTCCTCCTCTTATTCTCCTCTTCCTCCTCCTATTCCTCCTCTTCCTCCTCCTCCTCCTCCTCCTCCTCCTGTTCCTCCTCGTTCTCCCCTTCTTCCTCCTCTTTCTCCTGTTCTTTTTCCTCCTCCTCTTTCTCCTGTTCCTGCTCTTGTGTCTCCTCCTCTTCTCCATCCTCCTCTTTTTTTCGTCTCCTCCTCCTCCTCATCCTCCTCCCTATCACTTCTCCTCGTCTCTCCTTCTCCTCCTTCTCCTCCTCCTCCTCCTCCTCCTCCTCGTTTTCCTCCTCCTCTTCCTCCTCGTCGTCGTCCTCCTCCTCCTCCTCCTCGTCTTCTCTCCTCCATTCCATTTACTTATGCAGAACTCCTCCCTGTCGCACCCCGAGGCCAGTTTTTAGGGCGGTCCAGGCGTTTCGGCTGAGACGTCCTCACCATTTCCGATTGTGAAGCTTACAGCGTGACAACAGTTTCACAGATGGAGGGTGGGTGGTTTTCAAAACGTGGCTCTCGCCCCAGCGCCGCGCACACTTGTTTGAACCATTGCAAGAGTTTCACGAATTGAGGGCGGGTGGTTTTCAACATGTGGCTCTCGCCTTAGCGCCGCGCACATTCGGTTCCAAAAGTTGCAAGAGCTTCACGGATTGAGGGCGGTTCTTTTTCAACATGTGGTTCTCGCTTTAGCGCCGCGCGCATTTGTTTGAATCGTTGCAAGAGTTTCACGGATTGAGGGCGGTTATTTTTCAACATGTGGCTCTCGCCTTAGCGCCGCGCACATTCGTTTGAATCATTGCAAGAGCTTCACGGATTGAGGGTGGTTCGTTTTCAGCATGTGGTTCTCGCCTTTTGCGCCGCGCACATTCGTTTTAATGATTTGCAGCAGTTTCACGGATTGCGAGCGGTTCCTTTTCAAATTGTGGTTCTCGCATTTGCGCCGCGCGCATTCGTTTTCAGCATTTGCAAGGGTTCCACGGGTTCCATTGATCAGCTTACCAGAAGTGGTGGTTTGGAAGGGTTCAGAATTATGCGGGTGCAACAGTTTTGTTGGTCCGTGGTGATGAGGTCCCAGCAATGGTGTTCTGGCACGGTTCCAGATCGTCAAGATGCAGCAGTCAGGTTGATCCGTGGCGTTGGAATCCCGAGAGCAACGTTTTGGCATGTTTCAGGTTCTTCAGACGGTCGTCTTCTAACGAGGCAGCTCCCTCAGTGGAAATGAACCGTTGTATGGGCATATGGAGAGGGAGCTTGGAGGGAGGGTTAATGCCAACATAGTTGATGACTCTTGGGTTTCCACTGCTGCTCCTCATCCTCCTCCTCCTACTCCTCCTCCTCCTCCTCCTCCTCCTCCTCCTCCTTTCCTCCTCCTCCTCCGCCACCACCTCCGCCTCCTCCTTCTCATCCTCTCTCCTCTTCTTCTTTCCTCCTCCTCATCCTCCGCCTCCTCCTCCTCCTCCCCCTCCTTCTCGTTATCATCCGCTGTCTCTCCTCCTCCTCCTCCTTCCCTCTTCATCCTCCTGTTCCTCCTCCTATTATTCCTCCACTTCCTCCTCCGTCTCCTCCTCCTCATGTTATTCCCCCTCCTCCTCTTCATCCTCTTCTTGTTCCTCTTCTTCCTCCTCCTCCTCATCCTTCCTCATCATCGTGTTCCTCCTTATCCTCCTCCTCCTCGTCCTCCTCCTCCTCTTCCTCCTCCTCGGCTCTCATCATCCTCGTTCCTCCTCTCTCCGCCGCCGTCTCTCCTCCCCTCTCCGCCGCCGTCTCTCCTCCTCCTCCTCCTTCTCCTCCTCCTGTTCCTGCTCCTCCTCCTCCCCCTCCCCCTCCTCCTCCGTCTCCTCCTCCTCGTTCTCGTTTCCGTCCTCCTCCTCTCTCCTCATCCTCTCTCTCCTTCTCTCTCCTCCTCTCCTCCTCCTCATCATCCTCCTCCTCCTGTTCCTCCTCTTGTTCCTCCTCCTCCTCCTCCTCCTTCTCCTCCTTCTCCGCATCCTCTTCCTCCGCCTCCTCACCCTCCTCTTTTCTCCTCCGCTTATCTCATCCTCTTCTCTCCTCCTCTTCTCTCCTCCTCCTCCTCCTCCTCCTCCTCCTCCGCCTCTCTCCTCCTCCTCCTCCTCCTCCTCCTCCGTCTCTCCTCCTCTCCTCCTCCTCCTCTTCCCCCTCTTCCTCCTCCTTCTACTCCTCCTCGTCCTCCTCCTCCTCCTCTCCTCCTCTCCTCCTCTTCTCGCCTCCGTCTCCTCCTCGTCTTCCTCCTCTCCTCCTCCTCCTCCTCCTCCTCCTCCTCCTCCCCCTCCTTCTCCTCCTCCTCCTACTGTTGCTCCTCCTCCTATTTCTCCTCCTCTTCCTCCCCTTCCTCCTCTTTCTTCCTCCTTCTCTCCTTCTCTTTATCCTCCTCTTCTTCCTCTTCGTCTTCCTCCTCCGCCTCCTCCGCCTCCTCCTTCTCGTCCTATCTCCTCCTCTTCCTCCTCCTCCTCCGCCTCCTCCTCCTCGACCTCCTCATCATCCTCCTCCTGCTCGCATCCGCGCCGCCGTGAACGAGGGGAGGGGGGGAGCTGGTGACGCGGAGGGGGGAGGCGATGGGGAGAGACGGTGCGGGAGGGCAGAAGGTGGGGGGAGGGGACGAGCGGAGCACGGGGAGGAGCAGAGGGAGATAGGGGCGAGGAGCGGAGACGAAGACCTGGATGGGGCAGGTAAGAAAAGGGGGGAGTGGGGGAGGGGGGGCGGGGAGCGGGTGCTTGCGGGCAGCCCAGGAAAGGCACTTGGGAGGTGCTTGCGGGCAGCCCAGGAAGAAAGTGTGGCGGTGCTGCCATGTGGACACTTACAGTGGGACCTTCGGCTGATCTCCCAATGGGGTCACGAGGCTGATCTCCTTATGGGGTCGCGAACCGGGTGCAGGGTGCACCAAGAAGGGACGGCGCCGCCATGCGCACCCTGCCACTGGGGCAATCGGCTAATGTCCCTACCGGGCCACGAACCGTGTGAGGGGTGCGCCAAAATTGTGCGGCGCCGCCATGTGGACCCTGCCGCTGGGGCCTTCGGTGGAGCTCCCGATGGGGCCACGAAGGTAAGGGGTGCGCCGAAGCGGGGCGGCGCCGCCATGCGAATCCTGCCACTGGGGCCTTCGGTGGAGCTCCCTATGGTGCCACGAACCGTGTGAGGGGTGCGCCAAAATGGGGCGGCGCCGCCATGCGGACCCTGCCGCCAGGGCCTTCGGTGGAGCTCCCTACGAGGCCACGAAGCGTTGCACCGAGTGTGCCGAAACACAGACATGCGGAGGGCAAAGGCAGGGATGGGAGGAAGGAGGAGGGGGAGGAGGAAGGAGTGAGTGAGACGCGGGGCGCTGTCTCGTCAAAACAAGATCCCATCACCACAGGATGGTTGGGAAATATGGAACTTGGTGGACGCCGGGCGAGCGTTCGGGGGTCCTGCGAGGTCGAGCTTAACCGACATTGACGCTGACGACGACGTTGGCGTCAACGTTGACATTGGCCTTGACGCTGACGACGACGACGACGATCACGGCGATCACGACGATCACGACGATCACGACGATCACGACGATCACGACGATCACGACGATCACGACGATCACGACGGCGACGGCGACGGCGACGGCGACGACGACGACGGCACTGACGACGACCACGGCACTGACGACGACCACCACTGCCTCGACGGCGGCGACGTCGACGACCGCTGCGTTTGGGGGTGGGGGCGGCGGGGGCCCGCCGTCGGAGGGCTGCCGTGACGAGGCTGCCCTCGCTCCCGCCGCGCACCCCATTCGGCAGGAGCCCTCGGCGAGGCGCTGCCTCCCACTCCTCCGGCCCCCGTCCCCCGGTCCCCCGCCTCCCCCCCCCTCGGCCTCCCCGCGCCCCTCCTCTGCCTCTCTTGGGCAGATCGGTTCCAGAGCGTCGCGGAACGCTCTCAGAGCGTTCTGGAAGGCCCTGACAAGGCCGCGGCGCCCGAGACATCCTCCAGAGCCGCTATATCTCAGAGGTTTTCGATTCATCCTCACCCTAAGTTTTTCTTCGTCATGGCTTCGTCTTACCCTTCCCCTCAGGGCCTCCTCCTCCCCCTCCCCCTGGTGCGCGCCTCTTCTCCTCCTCCTGCTTCTTCTTCCTCCTCCTCCTCCTCCTCCGGCCACGACGACGACGACGATGGTGGCGACGGCGATGGCAATGGCGATGACGACGACGACGACGACGACGATAACGACCACGACGACGACGATGACGGCGGCGGCGGCGGTGGCGACGGCGATGGCGACGGCGGCGGCGGCGGCGTTCACGGCGACGACGACGACGATGTCGACGGGAATGGTGGTGGCGACGGCGATGGTAACGACCGACGACGACGAGCGCTCGGCGCGTCGCGGTTGCCCGGAGGACCGCCGGATCCGAGCTCACCCGCAGCGTGCCCACGCGCAGTGACATGCGCACGCGGAGCCCCCGCTTTGCAGCCGCCCTCGTCGTCCGTCGTCGTCGTTGTTCGAGGCCGTCGTCGAATTGCTGGTGCGGTCCTCGGTGTTTTTGTGTGGCCAGGAGATGGGCTGCAGATGGCTGCAGCACCAGCAGGAGGATCATGAGGATTTGGATGATGCAGATGGTGGTAACAGCAATGACAGCAAACAGTGATAGTGGGAGGGTGGTGATTGTGATGATGCTGACGATTATGATGCTGCTGACGGTTATGATGTTGCTGCTGATGCTTATGTTGATGCGCTGCTGCTGGTGATGGTGATGATGATGAGGAGGAGGAAGAGGATGATAATGAGGATGATGATGAGGACGATGATCAGGATGAGGATGATGATCATGATGAGGAGGATGAGGATGATGATGATGATAATGATGTTGATGATGTTGATGATGATGATGATGATTATGATGATGATACTGATGGTGATAGTGATGATGATAACGACGATGATGGTAGTGATGATGGTGCTGACGATGATGAACATGAGAATAGTGATGGTGATGTGATGGTGATGGTGATGACGGTGTGATGGTGATGGTGTTGCTGATGATGATGATGAAGATCTGATGTTGCTGATGCTGATGATGATGCCGATGGTGTTGATGATGACGATGTTGACGATGATGATGATGATGATGATTATGATGATGATGATGAGGATGATGCTGATGGTGATGCTGATGGTGATGCAGATGGTGACGATGCAGATGATGATGATGATGATGATGATGATGATGATGATGATGATGATGATGATGATGATGATGATGATGATGATGATGATGATGATGATGATGATGATGATGATGATGATGATGATGAATGATTGATGATGATGATGATGATGATGATGATGATGATGATGATGATGATGATGATGATGCTGATGCTGCTGATGATGATGTTGATGCTGCTGTTGATGCTGCTGTGATGTTGATGATGATGTGATGATGATGATGATGATGATGATGATGATGATGATGATGATGATGATGATGATGATGATGATGATGATGATGATGATGATGATGATGATGATGATGATGATGATGATGATGATGATGATGATGATGATGATGATGATGATGGTGGCGGAAGTTGTAAGCTTCAGGATAGTAGGTTGTACGGATGGCAGTCTCAAGCGAAATGCCCAGGCCGGCCTACGGATACGTCCAGTCGTCGACAGAGGGAGGAGGGAGAGGGGCAGCAGAAGATTTTCGAAGCTTTTGGAGGGCTCCAGAGCTTTCGGGCCGTTCCCCCCTCCCCCCCTTAGAGAATTGGCACACTTTCCGTAGATCATTAGAGTCAACGACATCCATCTACAAGAAGTTTTCGTTGAGAATCCGCACTGGACGCTGCGGCGCTACACGCGCATCCCTGTAGTTGGGACAGCCTTCGCTTTAGTGGCGTTCGTTCATTCGTTCGTTCGTTCCCCCCCCCTCCCCCCTCTCTCTCACCCTCCCTGTCTTTCCGTGCGCGCGCGCGCCACAGTTCTGACTCGCGACCGGCCCGCTCGAGCTGGCCCCTTCCGCGGCCATTTCGGCCCAGGTCGCGGCCCCAGAGCGATCGAGCCCCACCAGGCTCTGGTCCGAGCCCCCTTGGCGCGTGAGCCGCGCCCCTCCCCGGCCACAGCCGCGGCCATGAGCGTCACCGACCTCCAGCTCTGGACGTCGGGGCAGAAGTCCGGCAAGGCGTGCGTCGCGCACTTCATCGGCTTCGAGGCAAGCTCCCTGGACAACCCAGAGCCTCCTTGCCCTCCCGTTCTTCCCCCTTCCCGCCCCTCCTCCATTCGCGCCCCTCTCCCCCCCACTCCCCCCCTCCTCCCTCTCTCCTCCCTTGCCCTACCCCTTCCGCACTCCACCCTGTGTCGCAATAGATAACTATTCCCTGTCGTAGCCCCAGACGCGTCGGTAGGGCGCGCCGGGCATGTCGCATGCGGCTTCCTCACCACTCATGATCATGAAGCTTGGAATTTCGAGCAAGTTTGCAGATGAGGGCGGGCGTTTTTCAAAGTGTGGTTCTCGCTTTAGCGCCGCGCACTTTCGTCTGAAGAGTTTGCGTCAGCTTCAAGGATCGAGGGGCGGGCCGTTTTTTAGATGTCGTTCTCGCCGCAGCGCCGCGCACATTCGCTTTTAAGAGCCTGCAGCAGCTTCAAGGACGGAGGGCGGGTCATCTTCAAACGTGGTGCATCCCCGCCCCCCATTTTCTTCCTCCTCCTCCTCCTCCTGCTCCTCCTCCTCCTCCTCCTCCTCCTCCTCCTCCTCCTCCTCCTCCTCCCCCTCCTCCTCCTCCTCCTCCTCCTCCTCCTCCTCTTCCTCCTCCTCCCGCCCCCGCCTCATCCACCTCGTCTGTCGCCCTCGAGCCGTGGCCCCCTCGAGTCCAGTCCTCGGCCTCGGCCTCGGCCTCCATGTCCAGTACCCCAGTTTCTCCGTCTGCCACATATCAGAAGAAGCGGCCGCGACACAAGAGGAGGAGGAGGAGGAGGAGGAGGAGGAGGAGGAGGAGGAGGAGGAGGAGGAGGGGGAGGACGGGACGACGACGACGACTGTGGCCCAGCAAGTTGATGTGTTTGATTACTCGTTTGCTTCCTCCCCCGCCCAGCGCAGCACGGCCTTAAAGGTGGCTGGCCCCCGCTGCTTGGCGTTGAGCATCGCGAGACCTCGAACCCCTCATGGTCTTGGCGTTCCTCCTCCCCGCCCTCTTCGTCGAGCGCGCTGCTCCAGCGCCCGTGCCAGTAGCTGAGCTGGCGGGCGTGCTTTTCTCTCCTCGCTCCCTCCCGTTCCCCCTCCCTCGCCGGACCGATGCCGTGCTGAGGTGGCTTTCCGTGTCAGCTCGGGGTGGAGAGTGGCCCGCGGAGTGCTCCTCCTCTCTCCCTCGAGGCCCGCGCCGCGAGGGCGCCGCCCAAGGCCCAGGAGGAGAAGAAGGCGCTGGTGCAAGACGCCAAGGAGCCGGGAGATGCGCACACCCTCCAACTGGGAGGAGGGGGAGGCAGGAGGTATCCGGTGGCCTTCGGCCCCGTCCAGATGGAGCGCAGCGGCACAGTGTCCTCACTGAGCCAAGGCTCCCGAGCCCAGAGTGTGGCAGGGCACGGTGTTCTCACCATCCCAGATTTTTGATTCCAGAGAGGGTGGCAGGGCCATCGGAATCTCACCACGTCAAGTCCCCCAGAAAGCGCGACACGGGGCCAGGAGCTCTCGCCGTTCCAGAACTCGCGGGTCCAGAAACGTGGCACGGGCACCGTGTCCTCGCCATTACCAGTTCCCCGGGCTCAGAGAGGGTGACCGGAGGAGGAGGAAGGAGGAGGAGGGAGGAGGGAGGAGGAGGGAGGAGGAGGAGGAGGAGGAGGAGGAGGAGGAGGAGGAGGAGGAGGAGGAGGAGGAGGAGGAGGAGGAGGAGGAGGAGGAGGAGGAGGGAGGAGGAGCAATGCTCACATGTTCGAGTCTCCCAGGTCCAGAGAGCGTCGCAGGCTCATGGGTTCTCCCCGTGCCAGGTCTCCGAGGTCCAGGGCCCAGGGAGTGTAGCAGCGGCAGAGAGATTCTCACGACTCCACCCTGCACCCAAGTCGTTGAAGCTCGGGAGGTCCGCACTTGGAGCAACAGCATCCTGCTCTTCGGATGCTTTCCCTGAATGTGGCTTTGAAGATCTTCCTGGAGGTTTCTGGGCCTCAGGGAGTTCTCCATCGGCTGCGAGCCCAGAACCGTCCCGGACGGCCACTTGGGGCCCAAATTACGGCGTGGAAGCCGTCGGGGGTGGAGGATGGACCCTCAGATCCGGGCGTCGCGAAAATAGCACGAAGGGCGTTTTGTTGCGGTGCCTGGCCGAGAGTGGGGCACGCATTATGCAGATCACAACGTCGGCTTCGTAGGATAAGCCTCGTCAGGGAACAATCCCTTGGGCAGCCTAGATGTTTCGCTGTTAGTCATACGTTGCGAGGTCAGTGCCCACCTTGGATCTGTTCCCCATGAGCAAGAAAAGAAGCAGATAGATCGGGCTTGAAGAACGCCGCGTGACGATGAGGTCGAGAGCTCCAATCGTTCAAGGTTGATTTTGGGAGGCCCCAGAAACTCCAACTCCTCCACGGGCTAGTCCTGGGGGATGCTGGCTCCCGGCCAGGCAGCGAGGCCGAATGCACCAAGGTTTGGGCTCGGAGCAGACTTGCGAAGGGTCTCTGTGCGGCGGGTCAGCGCTCCCCTCCCTGGTTGCCAGGAGCCGGTCGTGTACGGCGTCCGCTGGGTCAACGCCAGTAGCAAGGCCGTCGAGGTCAGGAACCTTGCCGGCACCGCGAAGGACCAGGACAGGGTGATAAAGGATACCATGGCAATGCCGCCGCCAAGGGCTGGCCTCACGGCGTTTCCCGCGGACACGTCGTTCCCCGACAGGATGCTGGGGTCGTACGGCGTCTGAGCCGTTGGGCTTGTGGTTCCCTGGTCGCGTGCGGCCTCGGCATCCAGTGCTCCAGTTGGGCTGGCGCTTCTGACACCGACCCCTGGACGTGACGCGCCCACCATGTGGTATAGTGGAGGCATCCAGCCCCTCCCCCACGTCCCCCCCCATCCTCATCTGCCTCCTGCTCCGCACACCCCCGCCTCCCCCTCTCCCTCACTCCCCCTCGCTCCTCCCCCTTCTCACACCTCCTCGATCCCCTCCTTCCTTCACCGTCCTGCTGTCCTCCCCTGCCTGTCATGCCGGCGTTTCGTGCTCCACGCCATCATAATAGCCATTGTGCTCTCGGCCATGCAGCGCCTTAGAGGCGTGCCTGCGAGTGCTGAGACGAAAACGAAGTCCCATTCCCCTCCGCCCTTGATGTGTTCAAATGCTTCGCGCATTCCGCCGGCCCATATTGCATCGCCGTTGCCATCTGCCTATACGTTCTCGGTGATTGGGAACTTGCTGGGTGGCGGTAGTTTTCCTAAGCGGTGTTGTGGAGCCCACGTGGGGGAGAGGCAGTCGCTGGGCAGATTGAGG